GCTGGCCTCGGTGGCGGCGGCAAGGTTCCCGAGGGAGGCGGCCGGTGTGGCTTTGCACAGTCTGACCGCGTCTGGCCACGCGATCGGAGGGTTTGCGGTCCCGGGTCATCGCGGTTCCTGCTGGCGAGCCCGGTGTCCCAGCCGCGGCGAGAGACAGCCGCCGGTCGGTGCGGGGTGGCCGAGGCTGCTCACACGTGTTCTGTCCCCGAGGGACTTGCTGCCGGAGCGCTCACCGCGCTCGCGCCGAGAAACGTGGCCCCGGCCCGGCCGCGCGCCCTCCGGCAGCCGGCAGCCTAGCAGCTGAGAGGCGGCGGGTGACATTTGCCTTCCCTTTTTGTTGCAGGGAGGCGGGCAGGCAGGGAGAGCGTGTGCTAAACAGCCTTTCTTACGGGTTGTGTAATAGGCGTTCAGTTGGCCCGGCACTTGCCGGGTAGTTTTAAATGAGTTTCTGTAAGGAGGCAGCTTCGGCCAGGCGGATTTTGCCTGAGCGGCTCGCTGTCAGCCTGTTCAGGACACCGAGTGTTTAGGGGACAGAGTGCTGCAGGGAAGTAAGAGCAGTATTGTCACATTGCACTTTTGTAGGCATAACTCATCCGATTCATACAGATTAACAGATGAAGAAACCGAGGCGCAGGGAGGTGAACGGGTTAGTTTCCCAGATTCATGCTCCATCTGTATCCTCTGACTGCAGCCCCAGTGCGCTTTTGGAGATTTGGAGGGGGAGCCTCTCTAGGTGTCAGTTGCTTTCAAAGGTAGGATCCACAGAGCTTCCCAGCTTGCGTCTGTATCCTGTTGCTGATGCTGGCCCCACATGAGCAGTGTAAAGGCCAGAATGTCTAACACAGAGGGTTTCCCCTGCCCTGGGCAGCCCTCAGAGATAGCAGTCAGTGGCTGGACAGACACAGGTCCAGGGAGAAGGCATGGGTGCACTTAGGTGAGGCCCAAGTCTTATACTGTGCTGCTGGGTCTTGGGCCATCACCCCTTCTGCCCCTCCGGCATCCCAGTGGAGAATTAAAGGAATGGTCCTTGCCTGCCAGGGTTACGGAGGCCACGGGGAGATCTTGTCTCTTAGGTTTCCGAAGCAGCTCCAGGAAAAATCCTGGACAGATACCAGGTGGCATTTGCATAGGAAAGAATCCCTCACGTGTAATAAAATTCCCCACATTTGAAGCTGTTGTGTCAAGTGCCTTGGACAGAGTGTGGGAAAGTTAGGAGCTGGGAGGTGTTATCTGAGCAGGCACCGGACCCACTGAGTCACGGAGATGAATGTTCCATCAGGGAGCTATTCTGTTTCTGAGGCCCGTGGCCTCTTTGCTGTGAGTTTGGCTCAGGGCATCATTTTAGCTTATCTTTAGCATTAGGACTAGTCAGTCGGGCCTTTTGAGCTCCCTGCAACACTCCAAAGAGGCACTGGTCTCACGTGTTTAAACTGTGTGATCTGTGTTTAGTTTTCTCCCCGCCCCTCCTTCTCCCCTGTGGATGTTGGTATGTTTCGATCCAGGCGTCACTGTGTACTTAGTATTACCTTCTGCAGCAGTTTTCACCTGGGGACAGGTTAATATGGTGTGTGTAGCAGAAGGAGCTGGTCTGGCTGTCCTGGACAAGTCATTCTTTGGGGCCTGGCTGTAACGTGAAGGTTTGGGTTAGCGAATCAGTAAGGTCTTCTAGGTTCTGGGATTCTAATTCTGTCCCCAAATAATGACCCTTAGGGATTCTTCCGGTTTTTAGCGTGCAGGTTTGGCTTTAAAGCACCTCTTGTTTTTTGCTATAACTTTCTGGGATTGCCCTTTGCATTTTGCAGCCAAGACAAAGGGCACAGAGAAGAGTTAAGAGGTGTGAGCCCCGCTGCATGACCCCAGCAAGGCTGTAGCAGACTGCCAGGCTACGCCAAGCAGCACAGTTGTCTGTCCAGCACGAGATATCAGGGAGCGTGCTCTACTTGGAGAACCTGTGTTCTTAAATATTTGGGATGACAGAGACTGTGAGTAACTGAGTGAAGAGCACAGGGTTGGGGTTGAAGCCCTGCCCTTAACTTGCTTCATGCCTTAGGCACTGTTCTGTACCCTCATATTGTCACTCGTAAAACAGAGGCTGTGGACCAGGTCAGTATTTCCCATTTTTAACCTGTCCCCCTTTCTATGGACACAGAACACTCAATGTTCTCTTTTATGTTCCTTGAGATTTCAAGTAATTATTACACCTGAAGCCGAATCAATGTACATCGTATCTTGAAAAAGTTTACTTTGATTTTATAAGGTACACATTTTTAAGATTGATCTTTTGAAGGTCAGTGAGTGTGTTGGATGGGCCTGTTTTTTCTAATTTTTCTCTCCTAGATAGTGTGGACCATGGGGCTCAGGACTGGTCACTTTCAACCCGCTTTTAACGAGCTGCTAGACTGGTCATAAGTGCAGAAAGCCAGCCTTGCTGATGCTTCATATTGTAATATTAAATACACTTACCCATGAAGTCCCATTCCACCCCCACCATGTCACTTTAATGACCTGTGTTTTTCAAACTGTGGGTGGTGACCCATTAGTGGGAGCAACATTTTAAAAAAGCCAGATTGGTGAGAGTACAAAATACAAGCATGTATTTTGTGGTGTGAAGTAAGGAGCAGTATTGTTCCATGAAATTCTGCTTTTGTGTGTGTGTGTGCGTGTGTGTGTGTGCGTGTGGTGGTCCTCGAGTGGCTGTGTGAAATGCACTTCTGGCTGGGGGTTATGGCCAAAAAAGTATGAAAAACTCTAAACCTAGTAATCTCGAATGCCTCTGGGGCTCCAGCAGTCAACAGCCTGTGATTATTAAGTGGGTATTTGGAAGACTTCTGGCAACTTTTCTGCTCCTTCCTGTGTCTTCCTGTCTCACTTAGCCACACGGTGGTGGCTTGTGAGTGTTTACTAATCTATCAAGGGCCAGGCTGCTGGGACCTCTGATTTTCTCCTGTCAGTTCCGACCCCCCGCGGTGGTACCAAGGGAGGGGGCGAGGGGACTCCGTGGGCCTTTCACCAAAGGGTAACCACAGCTCGTCCCTTTCCGACTGGGCCTTTGCGGCAGGTCTGCCGGGAGCCTCTTCCTGGTGCTCCGGAGTGGCCAGTGGCGTGGGCGCCTAGACCAGCACTTGGGGTGGATGTGAGAACCCCTGGTCGGGAGTGCTTAGGACTGTGGGGAGAATGCCAGGTGGGTGGAGGAGGAAATTCCAACCAGATTAGGCACACCACTCGGAGACCAGGCTGAGTCCCGCGCTGGTGGTGAAAGCAGGGCCAGAAGGAAACAGGAAAGATTTGAAGCGAGGGAACTTCCGCCGACCCTTTCACAGCCCTTCTCTTGCTCTGCTTGTCAGGGAAACGCTGCCCGTGGCTCTGCGGGGGGGAAGCCCTCCTTCCCAGCCGGGGTGCAGGCTGATCGCAGGGCGCTGACAGCCGGCGGCCGAGGGTTAAGGCCCAGCCTTCTCTCGAGGAGCTGGTGGGTGCCGAGCCAGTTGGAAGGCCTGCTTGGCTTCGGGGGTTTCTGTCGCCAGCCCTGCCGAGCTCGGAGCAGCGGCCTTGAGCCGGGCAGGTGCCAGGGCGGCTGGGCATTCTTCCACTTCAGAGCTTGCTTGTCCTGGTCCCAGCAGTGCAGCCGACTGCTGGGGTCCTCGGGGGGCAAAGGCAGCTGCCAGAGTCCCCTCCCAGCCACTCCAGTGCTTTTGAAACCACATACAGTCCAGTAGATGCCATTCCGCTTCCAAAGGGCGTGAAGTCCCTGATTGCTCTAGCTCTTGTAACAAAATTAGTGTTTTTTCTGTCTCCTTCAGATCCCACCCCTCCTTTTTTTCCCTGTCCTCCTTCAGTGGGAGGTTCTTTTCTAAAAGGTGGATTGCGGAGTGGCATGGGGTCCGAAAAGGAGGCCTCTTGGACTTCTGGCCTGTTGTCTGTTTCATGAACACCCAGGCCACATGCTGATGTCCAGGGCCTGGGTCTGCGCTGCTGGAGGAGTGGGGGTGGGGATCGCACGGGTCCCGGAGTCAGCAGTTGGTCCCCACGTGACCACTTTCCTGCCTGCCACTGGCCCCCTCTGCCCAGAATGGGGGAGGGGGAGGCTGGGCCAGAGGAGTTGGAGGGGAGCCCCTAGGATTACAGTGGGCATGGATGGTGGCCTTAGCTCTCAGTAGGGAGCGGCACTGGGATCTTATGGGGGATATCGATTACATTATTTAACCCGTGCAGGGGTGTGCACGGGGTGGGGTGTGTCCCGTGGAAGAGAGTTGCTGCTCTGTGGAGTAGGCCTCCCATATGTTTCCTGGTTTCCACCGGGCACGTCTTAGCCGCCTGGGGACCTCTCATTGATGAGGGTTTTGTCCCATTGTTCTTTGGGGTGGTGACCAATCTCAGGACTTTAGTCCCGCTTTCCTTCTTTCACAGGCTTGGGCTCTGGACCCCTTCCATCTTCAGGAGGGTTCCCTTTCCCTGACCCAGTGGAGGAACTGGCTGCTGTGTTCACGGAAGCCTTTGGCGGTCCCTCTTA